CTGACCTCATGATCCATGCAACTCTGCCTTCCAAAGTGCTGCGATTACAGGTGTGAGCCACCATGCCCAGCCAGGGTTTTCTAAAATAAGCCTAAGATTAAAACAGGATTTTGCTAATGATTCATTATTTGTTTGGAAAAACTTGTGTGATTTTTCAAGCAGCAGAAATGAGCTGAAATGGTTTTTCCTAGAAAATGCCCATTTTCTCTTTTTGTAGAATTACTTGGTAGTTCTCTAATAATCTGTGTTTGTTCTTTATGTAGTCTTTGATAGTGATACGTTTTGGTTAAAACCATCATGTAGTTGTCCTAAGTTAAATACTCTAGGCCAGACTTGATGGTTTATGCCTGTAACCCCAGAACTTTGAGAGGCAGAGGCAGGAGGATCACTTGAGCTCAGGAGTTTGAGACCACCTGGGCAACACAGTGAGCCCTCCTCTCTACAAAAATCAAAAACAGGTGGGGTACGGTGGCTCACACCTGTAATTCCAGCACTCTGGGAGGCTGAGGCAGTCAGATCACCTGAGCTCAGGAGTTTGAGACCAGCCTGACCAACATGGTGAAACCCTGTTTCAACCAAAAAAAAAATTAGCTGGATGTGGTGGTACAAGCCTGTGATCCCAGCTACTCAGGAGACTGAGGCAGGAGAATCACTTGAACCCAGGAGGCGGAGGTTGTGGTGAGCGAAGATCATGCTACTGCACTCTAGCCTGGGTGACAGAGCAAGACTCCGCCTCAAAAACAAAACAAAATGAAAAAAGATTGAGTGTATGGCTCATGCCTGTAATCCCAGCACTTTGGGAGGCTGAGGTGGGTAGATCATGAGGTCAGGAGTTCAAGACCAGCCTGGCCAAGATAGTAAAACTTCGTTTCTACTAAAAATACAAAAAAATTAACCAGACATGCTCTCGGCCACCTGTAATCCCAGCTACTCAGGAGGCGGAGGTTGCAGTGAGTCAATATCACATCACTGCACTCCAGCCTGGGCAACAGAATAAGACTCTGTCTCACCTAGGCAAGGTGGCGCACACCTGTAATGCCAGCACTTTGGGAGGCCGAGGTGAGTTGATCATTAGGTCAGGAGTTCAAGACTAGCCTGGCCAACATGGTGAAACCCCATCTCTACTAAAAACACAAAAATTAGCTAGGTGTGGTGGCAGGCACCTGTAAACCGGCTACTTAGGAGGCTGAGGCAGAGAATTGCTTGAAGTTGGGAGGCAGAGGTTGGAGTGAGCCGAGATTGTGCCAATGCACACTCCAGCCTGGGTGACCAAGTGAGACTCTGTCTCAAAAAGAAAGAAAGAAAAAAAAAAAAAAAAAATATATATATATATATATATATATTTTAAGACATGATGGCTCTACTGTACTGTAGCCTGGGTGACAGAGAAACTCTGTCTCTAAACAAACTAAAGTTGTAATTACTTTTAAAAAATAGTACACAATGAGTGTTTTTAGGATGAGTTCTTTTTTTTTTTTTTTTTTTTGAGACAAAGTCTTGTTTTTCACCTAGGCCTGAGTGCAGTGGTTCAATCAGCTCCCTGCAGTCTTGAACACCTGGGCTGAAGTGATCCTCCTGCCTCAGCCTCCCAAGAGGCTGGACTACAGGACTCAGAATACAGGCACATGCCTAGCTAATTCTTTGGTAGAGACAAGGTCTCGCTGTGTTGCCCAAGCTGATGTCTAACTTCCTGGCCTCCAGCGATGAATGCTCCCACTTAGGCCTCCCAAACTGCTAGAATTACAGGCATGAGCCACTGTGCCTGGTCTATTCTTTTAACATTAAATTGTATAGGCCTGTAGAGAGAGAATTGCTATTTGGCTGTACATTGGTGTTCTATAATATGATGAGGTTTGAGCTAATCTCAGTATTTGGATATGATTTAGTAATTTAGAAGTACTTTCCAATTACCACCTTTAACTTAAAATTTTTAATGTTATAGAAATTAAAATTTGAAGAAGCAGGTATTATTTTTAAAAGGTAATTGAACAAAATATTGGAGGTTAATTTAAGACAGACTTTCAGGATTAATAGCTATTTTAAGAAAATTTTTTAATCATTTGTTGATGAGTGCTTTTTCTCATTCCTGAAATACCTACTCTTAAGTCCTTTTTTTTTTTTTTTTGTCTTTGGAAAACATTTTCCTGTCCCTTGCTATTCCTTTTTTCTCCTTTTCCCCCCTTTCTTTATTTGTATAGACTTTGCCATGCAATTTTATTTTATTGTGGTAAAATACATGTAATAAAATGTATCACTTTAACTATTTTAAAGTATGTAATTCAAGCCACATGTAGTGAAGTCTGTAGTTCCAGCTAGTCAGGAGGCTGAGCCCAGGAGTTTGAAGGCAGCCTGGGCAACATAGCCAGACCCACTTCTCTTAAAAAAAAAAAAAAAAGTATATAGTTCAGTGGCATTAAGTACATTAACAATATCATATGACCATCACCACCACCATCTTGTTCTAGAACTCATTCATCATTGCCGCAAAATTTTAGCACCTAATTGTTCCCTAGTGTTTGGCTGCCATATTAAGAATTAAGTTTCTAAGAGAGAACCAAGACTCAGTTCTTGTCTTAAGGACTTCACAGAGTAGTGAGAGAAACCTAACATTTATAACACAATGTGGCAAATTACAGGTTAGAGCTCCCATCACTGAATTTTATGTATTCAATTAGAATTTCAATTTTACCTTGAAAAAGCAAAGCAACTTTTTGTTAGTTACAATTCAAGTTGTCTTATCATTCCACACACTGAATTCACTTAGGCTAGACCAAAACACTGAAGTCTTTAGTCTTTTGACTTAGGTCATTGTGGGACTCACAAATCCTCATGCCCTGTACTTTATTGCAAGAAGGGAACCAGAAAATTGGTATCTTGATTTAAAACCAAATTATGAGCTTTTCCTTCCTAATGAAGCAGAGAGATCTGTGAAAACTATGATTAGAGAGAACATCTTAGTTGTCTGCAACTATCATTTGTTGAAACTTTTTATTTATTTTAGCTAAAGTGACAACTTGCTTATGATGAAATACAGCATTATAGGGGCATGTTTATCTCTCTTGATGCAGATCATCTTGAAGAATAATTGCTTTGGAAACTGTCAAAAGATTATTTTTAATTCCTTGAAAAGCCGGGAGATATCAGTTGATTTAAAGTTTATTGTCTTAGCAGGTTTAGGTTAAAATAATGTTATCAGCATTGAGCGGCATTAAAATATAATTTTATTTTCATTATTATTTCTTCATATTAAAATTTTAATGCGGTATTGCTTATGAAAGTAAAACAGGTAGCTCTTTGCATCTAGAAGGACTCGATGTAGCAAATGTTTTCTACTAAAAAGCATTTGGGGTGGAGTTGAGAGCAGCTTTTTCGTATTATATACACAGGCCTTCTATAAACAGCCAGTAAATCTTCCCAAAGGGTGGCAGGCATTTCCAAAGGGACGAACGTGGCCTGTCATTCTGCTATTTCTCTCTTCCGACAGCAAGTTCTAGTAGCACCAAGACCAACCACCCAACGGACACTAACGGGTCCACACATCATCGTTTGGGACTGACCTGCAGGCCCATTAAGCTTTGTCAGTTGAGGTCAGGACTAGGTAGGTCTCGGCCAATGGGGACAGAGCGGTCACCGCCTAGAGAGGCGGCCGAGCCTGCCTGTGTCCCTAGGCCGCCTTCCCGGGCCCTCCGCACCCTCGGGGCCTCCACCACGCAGTTCGGGCGGTCACTAGGCCCGCCACCCAGAGGCGCTGTGTCTAGGCGCTCGGCGGCGTTTTGTCCAGGCCCAGCAGGTTTGGGCAGGGAGACCCGGCGGCTGGTGGGCTCTGGGCTGGGAGAGGCCGAGCTGCCATAACTCACCGAGGTGGGTGGAAGCTTCAAGGCCTGGGACAGGCAGGGGTTGGGGGACCGGTGCATGCAGGGCGGAGGGCGCGGCCTGTCCCGGAGCCCCCAGCTCACCCTCTGGCCGGAGCCACAGGAGCCTGGGGGACCCTGGGGGAGCGCGCCGCCTTTCCTTGTTCATGAGTTCATAGTCTTACTCGTGTAGTCAGTCTAAGAGAGTCGCCGTGTCCCAAATGGTGGATCGTGTTTCAGTTTACGATTTCAGCACCTGTTAAGAGAAGCAAAGTTCAGATAACTGGGCCTGGATTTCTAAGAAGCTGTGTTTTGTTGTTTTGAAATAGGGTCCTGATCTGTTACCCAGGCTTGGAATGCTGTGGTTTGAAACAGCTAACTGCAGCCTCAACCTCCTGGGCTCAAGTGATCCTCCCACCTCAGCCTCCTAAATAGCTGGGACCACAGGTTCATACCACCATGTGTGACTAATTAAAACTTCTTTTTTCTTAAAGAGTAGGCCGGGCACGGTGGCTCAAGCCTGTAATCCCAGCACTTTGGGAGGCCGAGGCGGATGGATCACGAGGTCAAGAGATCAAGACCATCCTGGTCAACATGGTGAAACCCCGTCTCTACTAAAAAAAATACAAAAAAAAATTAGTTGGGCATGGGCATAGTGGCACATGCCGCGTGCCTGTAATCCCAGCTACTCAGGAGGCTGAGGCAGGAGAATTGCCTGAACCTAGGAGGCAGAGGTTACGGGGAGCCGAGATCGCGCCATTGCACTCCAGACTGGGTAACCAGAGCAAAACTCCGTCTCAAAAAAAAGAAACAGAGTCTCACTGTGTTGCCCAGGCTGCTTTTGAACGCTTGGGTTCAAGTGATCTTCCTGCCTCTGCCTCCCAAAGTGTTGGGATTACAGGCCTGAGCCACTGTGCCTGGCCCTAATATGGTTTTATAATTTTTTTAAAAGTTGGAATTTGTGGTGTGGTTTTGATTGTCTACTGAAAAAATGATTGCAGTTTCTAGGAAGGAAGGAAGGGAGGGAGGGAGGGAGGGAGGGAGGGAAGGAAGGAAGGAATAATAACCCTTAGTTTGGTTAGGCTGTTAATAAATTTTAAATTTGACATTTATTGCTTTTGAAAAATAGCTGTAATCATCTTTTTTCAGGGTAATCACTTTGATCAATATGAAGAAGGACATTTGGAAATTGAACAAGCATCACTTGACAAGCCTACAGAATCGATAAGATGATCAGGGCTTAATTTCGGGTCTTAGCCACATAGGTAGGTAGTGTTTGTATGACACTTGATGTGAATGAAATTAAACTTGGTAATAACCAATACAGTTTAGAGTTGTTTTCTTTCATGCTATACACTAATCAGATAGAGTTTGGGATGTAACCTAATATTTAATATGTTGGGAAATCAGTGCAAAAAAATCTAGAAACACATCCGGGAGCGGTAGCTCATGCCTGTAATCCCAGCACTTTGGGAGGCTGAGGCAGTAATTCGAGACCAGCCTGACCAACACAGTGAATACCCCATCTCTACTAAAAATACAAAAATTAGCCGGGCGTGGTGGTGCTTGCCTATAGTCTGAGCTACTTGGGATACTGACGCAAGAGAATCAGAGAATTGCCTGAACCCGGGAGGTTGAGGTTGCAGTGAGCTGAGATCATGCCATTGCATTCCAGCCTGGGTGACAAGGTGAGACTCACCCTTTTTCTCACATGTTTAATAGAGAGGAACAAATGATAAAAATGTAGCATTTTAATGATATATTTATGTGTAGAAATAGGGGGAGAAAAAAAGGCCAACTGAGGTAATCTAGATGAAAAAAGTTTGAATTTTCAGCTTAGCTCCATGGTTAAACTAGAATTAGAACTTCATTTCCAACCAAAGAACAGGCCCCACATCCTCCATTTTGATCAGAGAGAGAAAACAAATAGATGGTTTGTGAGAACTCTGAATTAGGTAGAAAACCAGCTTTTTGCTTATTACTATTTGTCAACATTCAGTTGCCTTATTTATTAATTTAAAGTTAGGATTCCTTTGCAATTCTTCCATGTACATTTAAATTATATCAAGTTGATTATTGAGAAGGAAAAAAATTATAAGCAGCCTACTTGTATCATACGTCTTTGTTGTAAACCAGACTGTGTGTGTGTGTGTGTGTGTGTTTGAGAGATGGAGTCTTGCTCTGTTGCTCAGGCTGGAGTGCAGTGACACAATTTCAGCTCACTGCAACCTCCTCCTCCTGGGTTCAAGTGATTCTCCTGCCTTAGCTTCCCAAGTAGCTGGGATTACAGGAGTGTGTCGGGGTCCGGCACGTCTGCCGGGGGACTACCGACCCGCGGGAGTCCCCGAGACCGCCAACGTAGATGTCTAGTTCAACCTGAGAGAGAGAGTGCGCGGAAAAGAAAGAATATAGAAAAGTAGAGTCTGGAGGGCTGCGTGAAGATTATGGCCAAAACGCAGCAAATTTATTTTTGTGGGTTACAGCTTTTATACCTTTTGTCTTGTTTACATTTACCTCATCTCAGCAGAAAGAAACAAAGGGTAAAACAGAAAGGAAACAAACTCCATAAAATAGATATCCGGGACTTGTGATATCCTGCTCAGGAAGCAGTTTAAGGGGGCTAGTGGTAGCAGTTTACATTTCAATGATTTTACATTCCAAAGATACAATGGCACCCTTAAGGTGGCTGGTTAAACCTGTTTTTCATCAGGAGCTAAAACAAAGGCTTGGCTCCAGGGAAAATATGGGCAGAGGTCTCTGCTCCTCTTAGACATTTCAATTGCAGCAAGTTTATTGCTTACACAGAGACTGAAGGGGGACATGGAAGCAGACAGCACAATGCCCTCATAAACTGCAGGCCTTTGCTTTGCATTCTGTTGTTGCTTTTAGTGAGTCAGCTTATGGCCCTGTCTCACTCGACAGCCCTCGAGGTGAGGAAATGCAGTACAGGTCCAGCAGCCAAACTGAGGCAAGTCAACTGTCTCGAGCCTTTGGCGCGAACACCACAGGAGTGCACAGCTATGCCCAGATAATTTTTATATTTTTAGTAGAGATGGAGTTTCACTTTATATTGGCCAGGCTGGTCTCAAACTCGACCTCAGGTGATCCGCTTGCCTCAGCCTCCGAAAGACCAGGATTACAGGTGTGAGCCACCGTGCCTGGCCAACAGTTTTTAAAAAGAAAAAAAAATTCTATAATTTATTTTTGGTTCTATGAGATTATAATTAAACCCCAAATTATATATTAAAAAATAAAAAAGCCACAGCTGGGTGTGGTGGCTCACACCTGTAATCCCAGCACCTTGGGAGGCCAAGGCAGGTGAATCACCTGAGGTCAGGAGTTCAAGACCAGCCTGGCTAACATGGTGAAACCTCGTCTCTACTAAAAATACAAAAACTAGCCCGGTGGAGTGGCGGGCACCTGTAATCCCAGAGACGCAGGAGGCTGAGGCAGGAGAATCACTTGAACCCAGGAGGTGAAGGTTGCAGTGAGCTGAGATCGCATCATTGTACTCCAGCCTGGGCAACAGAGTGAGACTCCATCTCAAAAACAACAACAAAAAACAAAAGCCAAAAGACTTTTAGTCATTATTATAGTAACCGAAATTAAGTGAAGAATTCATTTTTTAAAAATTATTTTTCAGCCGGGCGCAGTGGCTCGCGCCTGTAATCCCAGCACTTTGGGAGGCCGAGGCGGGTGGATCACGAGGTCAAGAGATTGAGACCATCATGGTCAACATGGTGAAACCCCGTCTCTACTAAAAATACAAAAAATTAGCTGGGCATGGTGGCACGTGCCTGTAATCCCAGCTACTCAGGAGGCTGAGGGAGGAGAATCACCTGAACCCAGGAGGCAGAGGTTGCGGTGAGCCGAGATCGTGCCATTGCACTCCAGCCTGGGTAACAAGAGCGAAACTCCATCTCAGAAAAATATATATATATTTTTCAAAATAAGTACTCCTTTAGAAATGAATTGGCTGGGCATGCAAAGTTCAACACGTCCAGGTTGCAGTGAGCTGTGTGACTGTGCCACTGTACCCCAGCCTGGGTGACAGGGCAAGACCCTGTCTCAAAAAAAAAAAAGGAAGAAAGAAATTTAGTATTCATTGCCCTTGTTCTGTCTAGATTACCTGTTTGAGCCATAAGCTACTTGTACCAACGTAGTGTTTTAAGTAGCATCCATAGACCTGTCGCGGTGGCCTAGGCTGGTAATCCCAATACTTTTAGAGGCTGAGGCGGGTGGATCACTTGAGATCAGGAGTATGAGACCAGCTGGCCAACATAGGGAAATCCCCTCTCTACTAAAAATATAAAAAATCATCAGATAGCTCTTAGACACTGTAATGAAGAAAGGTCAGGCACCACTTCTGGGCTACACCTATTGATTAAATATATTTCACACTATAATCCCAGCACTTTGGGAGGCTGAGGCGGGTGGATCACGAGGTCAAGAGATCGAGACCATCCTGGTCAACATGGTGAAACCCCATCTCTACTAAAAATACAAAAATTAGCTGGGCATGGTGGCGCACACCTGTAGTCCCAGCTACTCGGGAGGCTGAGGCAGGAGAATTGCTTGAACCCAGGAGGCGGAGGTTGCGGTGAGCCAAGATCGTGCCATTGCACTCCAGCCTAGGTAAGAGCGAAACTCCGTCTCAAAAAAATTATATATATATATTTCACAGAAAAATAAAATTTTGAACACAGATAAAAGTTTAGCCCCAGGGAAAAATAAATGGGGCCTGTTATTGTTTCATATCTCACCCTGTCTAGCAGGTTCGATCAGTACATTTAGACAAGCAACAATGATTTACTTACCTAAACACTATTTTTTTTTTGATACGGAGTTTCACTTTTGTTACCCAGGCTGGAGTGCAATGGCACGATCTCGGCTCACCACAACCTCCGCCTCCTGGGTTCAGGCAATTCTCCTGCCTCAGCCTCCTGAGTAGTTGGGATTACAGGCACACGCCACCATGCCCAGCTAATTTTTTGTATTTTTAGTAGAGATGGGGTTTCACCATGTTGACCAGTCTTGACCTCGTGATCTACCTGCCTTGGCCTCCCAAAGTGCTGGGATTACAGGCTTGAGCCACCGCGCCCGGCCCGAACACTACATTCTAATTATACCAGCAGTAAATAACATAAGACATGGAGAGAGTATATAAGATGGTTCCTGACCTTCATGTTTATTTTCCAGTCCCTCAAGTCTTGCTTTTTTGAACTGCTGTAGACCTTTGAAGTTTTCTTGAAGCCAAGGATGATGTTTTCTACTTCTATGTTCTCCTTTCATGCTTAGAATTAAGTATGTGATCGGTCTGAATATTTAATTGAAAAATCGTTTCAACCTCCTTGTGAGCAGGGAGTCTTATTAATTTTTTCATGAAAGTACTTGGTGTGGGGCATAAAAGCAGTGGTAAATATTTGAAAATATAAGGTCTGGGTTTGAGTTTGGCACTACCATTTCCTATAAGTAAAGGGACAAGGTACCATCACCGAATTACTTTCCTCAGCAATAAATGGAAATTCAAATCTCTGCCCATCTTCTTAAAGAGTAGATATGAAGAGAAAGTAAGTGAATTCACATTATACAAAGTAAAAGTGCCATATAAATGCTTTTTATAAACACCTATTGTATAGTACATAGTTATTTTAATTGAATTGGAGATAATCCATCCTTAGGTCTTCCAAGACTAACAACAGTAGCAGTTAATATGCTTTCTATGTGATAGATGTTGGACTTCAGGATCTGTGCTTTTTTAATGTTATATGTGTTTTAGGGTCCCCCAAGTTCCAAATTTTTGGTATTGGTTTCACTAATTCTGAGCTCATTAGTCATCTCTACTTCTGAGTCTAACTTCTAAAAAGTCAAACATCCAAAAAGAGCCTCAGTCACTCAGTAGTGGTGTTGGGACAACGGAATAACAACACAGAATTTAAACAGTCAGATCCCCATTGTCATTCCTTACCCCAGAAAGATTCCAGATGAATGAGAGGTTTAAATGAGAGATCATAAAATTATTAAAACGAACAATGGTTGGATTAGTATCTTTAAAATAGTATTTGAATAAGAAAAACTTTTCTAAGCTTAACCCAAAGCTTAGAAGCCGTAAGACATGGATAAATATGCCTAGCATCCAGTATTGGAAAGCTAAGCATCTTGGAGTTATTCATGTCCTGCTCAAGTTCATCGCCAAGGTCTGATTACAAAAATTCAAAAAATTGCAACCTCAGGCATAAATGAGTTAAGAAAATGATAAGGCCAAGCACAGTGGCTCACATCTGTAATCCCAGGACTTTGGGAAGCCAAGGTGGGAGGATCACTTGAGGCCAGGAGTTCAAGACCAGCTTGGACAACAAGACAACCCTGTCTCTAAAGAAACTTTAAAAAACAGATTAGCCAGCCATGGAGCTGTTTGGAAGGCTGAGGTGGAGGATCGCTTGACTCCAGGGGTTTGAAGCTGCACTGAGCTGTGATCCTGCCACTGTACTCCAGCCTGGGCAACAGAGCAAGCCCATTTCAAATAAAAAAAGGATAAATTTGGCTATATTTCATCATAACAAAGTCAACAAACAAATAGACTGGGGAAAATATCTGTAATATCTCATTATAGGCAAAGAATGACTTTCCTTCAGGTATTTATCAGTTCGAGGAAGACCTAAATACAATAGAAAATGGGAACTTATATAAACACTGTGTACAGAAAGGTAATGCAGATGGCATTTACTTTTTATTTTTTTGAGACAGAGTATTTTTATTTTTTGAGATGGAGTCTCACTCTTTCACAAGGCTGGAGTGCAGTGGTGCGATATTGGCTCACTACAACCTCTGCCTCCTGGGCTCAAGTGATTCTTCTGTCTCAGCCTCCCGAGTAGCTTGGGGCTACAGGCATACACCACCATGCCTAGCTAATTTTTGTATTTTTAGTAGAGATTGGGTTTCACCATGTTGGCCAGGATGATCTTGATCTCTTGACCTTGTGATCTTCCTGCCTCGGCCTCCCAAAGTGCTGGCTTACAGGTGTGAGCCACCATGCCTGGCCAAGACAGAGTCTTGCTCTGCCACCCAGGCTGGAGTGCAGTGGTGCAATCTTGGCTTACTGCAACCTCCATGTCTCAGGTTCAAGTGATTCTCCTGCCTCAACCTCGCAAGTAGCTGGGATTACAGGCATGAGCTACCACACCCAGCTATTTTTTTTGTATTTTTAGTAGAGACAGAGTTTCACCGTGTTGGCCAAGCTGGTCTTGAACTGTTGACCTCAGGTGATCCACCCACCTCAGCCTCCCAAAGTGCTGGGATTACAAGCATTAGCCACCACACCCAGCCGCAGATGGCCTTCAAATATGAAAATATTCTCAACCATTATCATAGTAAGAGATGTGCATGTTAAACTGTAAAAAGTTAGCTTGGTAAGATTACAGGAAAACAGGTACATCATAGTCATGAGACTGTACATTGGTGAAAGCCACTACAGAGAACAATTTAGATTACTTAAAAATTAAAATGGATGTATTCTTGAATCCAGTATTTTTTTTTTTTTGAAACAGTCTCGTTTTGTTGCCCAGGCTGGAGTGCGTAATGATAGCCACTGCAGCCTTGATCTCCCCAGCTCTAGTGATCCTCCTGCTTTAGACTCCTGAGTAGTGGGGACTACAGGTGCACACCACCATGCCTGGCTAATTTTTAAGAAATTTTTTATAGAGACAGGATCTCACTATGTTGCCCAGGCTGGTCTCAAACTCCTGAGCTCACGTGATCCTTCCACTTTGGACTCACACAGTGCTGGGATTATAGGTGTGATCTACTATGCCTGGGCTATTCATGCAATTAACAAACTTCTTAGGGTATAAAATTCTTAAGCATTCTTCCTGGTCACGAAATAATTAATATGATAACACACAGTTGCTTCCTGTGTAATAACAGGTACATTCCTTCTGTTGATACTGAAGCAGATTTTCAGTTTTGTGTTGTGTTAGTTTTACTTGGAATGTGTCTCCAGACATCTCACACATCTTTTTAAGAACATTGTATTATATTTTGGGATTGAAATAAATACACGTAAAAATTTTACTTTATAAAATCAGCTGAAAAAATGTGTTAAGAGAGATGGACATCCTCTATAGCCTGGGTAGTAAAACAGAGGCATTTTATTGTGAAATATTAAAATGGTGCATTCTGTGGGTATACAGGAGTGTGCCTGTATATTTATGTTTGTATTTGCTTGACCATGAAGATAAAAATTTTTGTAAAGATAGACTCTCTGAAGGGAAACTGAGTTGCATTTTACTATATTTAAAAAATTTGATATTATGTACTTGTATTACTATTCAAAAAATATAATTGTTTTAGAAAAGACCCAGAGTAGGCAGAATGAAAGCAGAGTACGGTCGGGGGCATTTCTTTGGTTTTATTTATGTATACCTCCTTCCCAGTCTTGTTTCAGTTAGGAAATAAATGAATACAGTAGGGTAAGGCCTGCATTAGGTAAGTCGCAACAATATTTAGACTACATTTTACGACTAAATGAAAATTAGTCTTCTTTTTCCCCCATTAGAGATGAGGTCTTGCTGTGTTACCCAGGCTGGTCTCAAATTCCTGGCCTCACGCAATCTTCCCACTTCAGCCTTGCAAAGTGCTAGGATTACAGGGAGAAAACAAGATTTGAATTCAATACAATAGGATAGAAACATGTAATGTTACAATTTAAGCCTTATGGTTAAATTATATTAATTAATATTGCACTAACTTCTGGCCTGGTGTGGTGGCTCACACTTGCAATCCCAGCACATTTGGAGTCTGAGGCAGGAGGGTAGCTTGAGGCCAGGAATTCGAAACCAGCCAGGACTGTTTCTGATTGACTTCCAGCATGCTGTGTTCTTGGAATTCCCAGTTCAGTTTGAAACCGATTTTCTACTTGGCATATTAGTTCCCAGCATGCCATTCATACTTTCTTTGTTGTTTCACATTTATTTTTTTCATAGCATGAAATGTAGTGATTGAATTGCATTATTGGCTACATCTTCTTTAATTGGTTCAAAGCAAATAGAGATTGGATGGGAAAAGTCAGTGGATTATGGGCCTGTATAAAAGTGCTTTGATGAACATCTGTGCCATGTATATCTCCTCAATGTATGCTGGAACCTCTCTGGACATATTCCTCTAAATGCTGGGTCACAGGATGGATGCATACCTTATTCTATCAGTTATTGTCAGAAAGCATTTAAAATATTTTAACTGCCGGGCGCAGTGGCTCAAGCCTGTAATCCCAGCACTTTGGGAGGCCGAGGCGGGTGGATCACGAGGTCAAGAGATCGAGACCATCCTGGTCAACATGGTGAAACCCCGTCTCTACTAAATATACAAAAAATTAGCTGGGCATGGTGGCACGTGCCTGTAATCCCAGCTACTCAGGAGGCTGAGGCAGGAGAATTGCCTGAACCCAGGAAGCGGAGGTTGCGGTGAGCCAAGATCGTGCCATTGCACTCCAGCCTGGGTAACCAGAGCGAAACTCTGCCTCAAAAAAAATAAAATATTTTAACAATTTATAATCCTACCAGCTGGGAATGAGAGTTCCAGTTTTCCTATATCTTCAAACTTTAAAATATATGTCAGTTTGACAAGATAAATGTGATGTCACTGCTTTCCCTTTGTGTTTGATGATTTGGGTTATCTTTTCTGTCATCTGCCCTTTCCCTATTAAAAAAACATTGCCTTGTTTGACTTTTCCTATTGATTTGTAACAATTCTTTGTATATTTTCTGCACATGAATTCTTTGTTGTCTGCTGCAGAGATCCTCCAGTCTGTGCCATTCATATATTTATTTTGTGGTGTTCGTGTACAGAAGTTTTTTGCTTTAATGTAGTCACTTGTATCAGTCTTTCCCTTTGTGGTTCGTGGGTTTTGTGGGGAAGGTGATTTTTGGGTTTTATCTTATTTAAGAAATCCTTACCTAGCCTGAGGTCCTTTACGCCATCTGTATTTTCTTCAGAAAGTTTGAAAGCTTTGTTGTTTCCACTGGATTTTAAGCAAGCTAGAGTTTATTTTTATGTGTTACTCGAGGTGTCTTTTTTCTGTATGGATAATAACCAGAACTGTTGGCATTTATTGTAGTCTCTTCTTCTTCTTCTTTTTGAGACAGAGTGTTGCTCCGTCACCCAGGCTGGAGTGCAGTGGTGCCCTCTCGGCTCACTGCAACCTCCGCCCCCAAGGTTCAAGTGATTCTCCTGCGTCAGCCTCTCAAGTAACTGGGATTATAGGCTCGCGCCACCACACCCAGCTAATTTTCGTATTTTTAGTAGAGACAGGGGTTTCACCGTGTTGGCCAGGATGGTCTTGATCTACTGACCATGTGATCTGCCCGCTTCGGCCTCCCCAAGTGATTACAGGTGGGGAGGTGCTGTGATTACAGGTGTGAGCCATCTGTAATCATCTGGCCTGCAGTCCCCTCTTTCGAAGGCTCCCAAATATATGGAGCTGCATCTGGCTCTTTCATCTTGGGTCAAGTGTAGGATTTGCCTTTCCTTCTCCTTCTGTACCTGCACTGCTGCCATACTGTTTTCATTGTTAATTGCTTTATAAGTCATAATGGCATGTGGGACATGTCATTCCTCCTCCTCCTTCTTCAGAGTGGTCTTGGCTATTCTTTCTCTCCCCTCTTTTTATTATGTCACTGTTCCCACTGACAATGTACCAACTTTCAGATTTTTCTGTTAAGTCACCATTAAAATTTACCTCACATCCTACATCAGGACTTTGTTAGAGTCCTAATTCTCCTTTCCATCCCTGTTACTATCTAGTCCCCTATACCTGTTCCCATGGTTGCCCTGATCCAGATGTCAGCTACCTCAGGCTGCATTCCTACAGTAGTCCCCATACCTCCACACCCCTGCATTATCCCAGAATATACTGGACTTACCTTCTGGATGCAGCAGTCTGGTCTCAGACTCTAGCAGTGATTTCTAATTGCTTCTCAGGACCACAGGTCTTGCCTAGGAGCACTCCAGGGAGTCATTTGACAGCTCACCCAGCTTCTTCTGGTGCCCTAAGGCATTCCTGGAGGCCACAGGGAAGCTGTGGAAAAGACTAGGTACAAGCTAAAGCCAAGACGGGGTTCCTCAGTTGCCTCCCTCTGTCTCTTCCATACACACATGGAAACAAGGTGCATGAACACGTGAGGATGGGCAGCGGCTGGTTCCAGGCCCAATGACAGGAGCCACACCATGCATTTGTTCACTCATTCATCTATCTGTCCCATTGTCCCTTTTTTGGTCACATCCATTGATCCATGAGACCCTCTTTCCCTTCTACTCCCCTCCTACCTACCTCCCTTCCCCCTGCCTCCCATCTCCACCACCCTAAGCATCCATGGAGGCCCACAGTGAGCTGGGCACTGTGCCAGCTGCTGGAGGTTCAGAGGTGAACAAGACCCCAGCTGCACTCAGGAAGCATGCAGTCTAGAAGGGAGAACACAGGACACCATGGGACTCCCTCACCAAGAAGAAAGGGCTTTGATGGGACTTTTAAAAAAATGCAGTGATGCTGTGCAGGACATCCCGGCCCCTCCAAGGCCAGCTGCTCTCCATGGTCTGCAGCCAAGTTAGTGGCCTCTGTGTCTCTCTTGGGATGTCACCAGCACCCCAGATACACTGGAGGGCAGGTAGGAAGTAGGGAGCCAGTGGGAGGCTAGGTTTGGGCCACCCCCAGCAGAGAGGAGTAGCGGTGGTCCCAGTGGGTGGGATGGTAAGTTTGGGGCAAATCATCCACGAGTCTCAAGGTCGATCTATCGTTGGGCCTGTTCCACAGTGAGTGGTAGATAATGACATCTGAGAATCATCCTGCATCACAGGAAGCCCACAGGGCTTATATCAGGGGCCCCAGAAATGGGCGGACCAAACGGTCACACACCTACTTGGAGTCAGAACGGCGGGTTTAACCCCAGCTGTGCCTGAACCAGGTGGCTGAGCAACTTCTCTTTGCATCTCTGTTCTTCTCGGAGAAGTGGAGGCAGGAGCCCCTGTCCTACTGCTCTCTGGGAATCTGGGCATGTGCTCCATAGTGAATTTGGAAGTTCCATTTAAATGGCAGCTTTCAGTCAGAGTTTAAGGGGCGACTGACAGGGAGACCCACTCGGAGCTGTGTCCTCAAGCCACATTCCCTCATCCTGCCCATTACAGCGCTGCCACCACTGCCTCCTGACCTCAGGGTGCCAGGTAGCCTCTGAGCTTCCTCCTTTCCTCCCTCCCCACACCCCTTCACAGTTCCTGGAATGACTAAGGGAGTCCGGAAGAGCGAGGGGCTGAGAGTCCACCTTAGGGTGTGTCTCCCAGTTCATTTTTACCTCGATGCCCTCCAGCATGTCCAGGTGTGCACCATTCCCCCGGGCACCAGGATGTCCCTTAGGGCGTCCGTGCACTGGTATGTGTCCCAGAAATAGCCACGTCCCTCGTTCTGAGAACCCCAGCATCCCAGCTGGCTTTCCCCGCGGAATACGGGCAAGCAGCGGTCTGGGCGCGCGCGGGCCCCACCCCCGGCGTCACGTGACCTCCTGCAGTTCTGTGCACCCCGCCCCCTCCAGATGCCGGCTCTACGCTGCGCATGCGTTCTGGCCGTAGCGGGCCTCGTGTGGCTGCTGCTGCCGCCGGAGGGCGCCCTGGGCGAGGAGCTGCAGGTACCGCGGCAGCTGAACCTAGGCTCGACTGAGAAGTACGTGGGGAGGCTCTTCAGCAGCAGGTGGGCAGGCAGAGGGTGCGAGGGGAGGGAGGACGGCGGAGGGTGCTGGGGGACACGGACGCCGCCGGGCACCCTCACCCGCATCGCGGCCCTAGCTGGGCTCGGGGAGCGCCCTCTTGACCAATGCAAAGACGTGTTCCCAGCTCGAAGAAATCTAAAACCCACAAGAAAACTGCGAACGCCACGAAATCCCCTCCATGGACCATCGCGAACCCCCAGTGGCTGAACACCTCGGAACCCCGACCACCAGCCTCCTCTCGGGGGCCCAGGTAGGACAGCCTGGATGCTTGGCACCGAGCCAGGAGCCTCGGGGCTGGGGGCAGCTTGGGTAGGAGCCAGAGAAAGCCACTGGGGGAGAGCGTGCAGGGAGATACCAGCGTCCTGGAGCTTCCTTCTCCAGGCTGGGCCTTGGCCTCTAGACGCCTTGCCGACCACCAGCACCTTTATATTGTGCGGGGCCTCAACCCCTACTCATCCCCTCAGTGAAAACAATAAAGACGAATCTCTGTTGCTTCAGTGATTTCTGGGAGCCGGGGTGGGAGGGGAAGGGAAGGGCAGTGGGGAGACCAGTCCTTCGAGGCTGTAGGGGAACCCTGGAGTTCCTGCTGTGGGAGAAAAAGACCTGAACTACATGGTGGGTGGGGTTGGGGGGTTCCTCCCTTCCTTCCCCTAGCAACGTATCCACCTTCCCCCAACTCAGCCCACATGCCCACAGCGTGGGGGGCTCTAATCCAGAGGGAGAGCGGAGCTGGGAACCTCAAAGGAGGGACTTCAGGTAGACACACCCCTACTCCCACCTGGCCCAAGTTTCTACCAAACAGCCCATCTTGGGCTGTCAGAGTTGGCACAGGAACAAGAAGAGGTGCCTTTGCCCCTCAGCATACAGAGTATAGGGGGCCGCCTTTGCCTCCTGGACTTCTAAGCCCTTCTAGGGTGAGCAGAGCAGGGGAAGGGGTGGACCTGGCCAGTCCTTGAGAAGCTAGGTGTGAGGGTGGCTCTCTGTTCTGGGGTCTTCCATGGCCATCAGAGAGGCCTGGTGGGGCAGAACCTCTGCCCTGATCCTACTCTCACATCCAGATGTGTCTCCAAGGGTGAACTCCTGGCCTCAGGAACTATCCACACCTCTCCACATTCACAGCCCATATCCCCTTAAGCTGCCAGAGAAAATGCTGGGACTTCCACCTCCCTCACCCAGACTCAAACCATTCTCTTACTGAAACCATCTCTCAATCGAGACAGACGCCCCTTGGGTTTAAGAATCAACCTGAGGTCGGACACAGTGGCTCATACCTGTAATCCCAGCACCTTGGGAGGCTGAGGTGAGCAGATCGTTTGAGCCCAGGAGTTTGAGACCAGGCTGGGCAACAGAGCGAGACCCTGTCTCTACACAAAAAAATTAGCTGGGCATGGTGGCATGTGCCTGTAGTTTCAGCTACTTGGAAGGCTGAGGGAGAGGATTGCTTGAGCCCAAGTGGTCAAGGCTATGGTGACCTGTGATCATGCCACTGCACTGCAGTCTGGGTGACACAGCAACACCCTGTCTCCAAAAACAAACAAAATAATCCGAGCCAATCAGCTGCATCCTCTAGCAGCTCTTTGCCTTTTAGGGCCTGGTTCCACTTCCAGGTCATTTGTATACACCAGATAGAGTCAGGATTTGAGGGGAAACACAATTGTGGTGTCATTTCCATGGGGTCTGTGCAAGGTGCTGAGCCCAGGAAAGTGGACCCCTCATCCTTCAAACCCATAACCCCATCCCTTCAGGCCAAGCATGTGGGGGAGGGAGAAGCAGCCATTCTAGGAACGTGAAACATTCTAGTTCCCTCACTTTTCCCCTTTACACACACTCACACATACACATGCACACACACACTGTCCCCACCTATTCAGGGTGCCTGAAAAGGGCCAGGAAGAGACAGGTGCACTGGGACTTGGGGCAGGATCCAGGTCCTCGCCCTCCCAGAGCTGGAGTGTGGAATCCACAGATTGGACTCATGGCAGTAGCTGAACTCAGCTAATCTAGCCTCCTCCTCTTCCACGGCAGCTTGAATACCTCCTGTGCCCAGGACTTCACTACCTCTCTGGACAACCCATTCTTTCCAGATCTCTGGACAGCAGCTCAGGCCCCTGGATGCAGCCATGACTGCCGCAGCACCTGAATCTTACCTCCGGGCTGGGCTAATGCCTGCACTCCAGCCTGGCGACAGCGAGACTTCATCTCAAAAAAAAAAAAAAAGGCGGTTTTGGCGAGGTGAACAGGGAGGGCAGGGCAGGAAGTTTCCTGGAGGAAATGAGGCCTGAAGTGGCCTTGAAGGCTGGAGAGAGGCAGAAATCCTGTTTCACAGAAGCAGGCCTGTGGAGCAGGGCTGAAGACTTTAAGGGCACACACTGAGGAAAGTGCAGGAGATGCCACCAGAAGAGGAAGGGGTGTTAGGGAAAGTCTGGAGTTTCCAGCAGAGTTTCGATTTCATGTTTAGTAGAATCAGAACTGCTTTGGGATGAGATCTCTTAGCTCTGTCCCTCATTCTATGGCCTCATGCAAGCCTTTCTCCCTCTCTGCCTTGGGATTCCCATTGGTTCAATTAAGAGCTAGGACCCAGTGATTTCTGGATGACATTCAAAGGACATCATGTTTCTAGCAGACATGCGAGGTTCCCAAATATCCATGTTCTCATTTAATCATCAAAGAGCTTGAGATGGTACATATATAGGTTTGTTATATAACAAAAAAAATCCATTTATAAATAAAAATAGTTTTAAAAACAGAGATGGGCACATAGCCACTCAGCTAAAGACATCTCATAGGTTGTTCTTGCAGCTAAGTGGGGCCATGAGACTAGCCTTTAACCAATGGGCTGAGAGTGAAAGTGATTTTTGCCATTCTGTTTTCAGGAATGGATGTACCTGCCTGTGGCAGATTATATTTTTCAAAGATGACCACAAAAATATCTCCTCTCTCACGTGTGATTCTCCAGTGGGGTCTATGTCCCTGCCTCTTGAATGTGTGTGCACTTGTGACTGCTCTGACCAACAACATTTGGGGTATGATGATGTGACTTCTGAGGCCGGGTCACAAGAAGTGATTGTCGTGAATTAAATTGTGTCTCCCCCTGAAATTCATGTGCTGAGGTTTTAACTCCAACACCTCAGAATGTGACCTTATTTAGAAGGAGGATCATTGCAGATATAATCAGTTAAGATGAAGTCATGCTATACAGTGTGTAAGCCCCTACTCCTGTAGGACTGGTCTTATAAAAAGGGGAAATTTGGGCACAGAAGCAGACATGCATAGAGGGAAGACGATGTGAAGAGACACAGCTCAGACCCCCCTCCTCAAGGCCAGGAGAGAGGCCTGGAACAGATCAGGAGGAATCAACCCTACCGACACCTTCATTTCGGGCTGCTGGCCTCCAGACCTGCCACTTAAACCACCCAGTCTGTGATTCATCGTCCTGGCAGCCCTAGCAAACTAAACAGCAATGCCACCTTCATCTGATTCTCTTGAAATAAGTGGGCAGCTGGCTACCACATAAGTCCAACTACCCCATGAATTTCGTGCTGGAGAGGCCACATGTAGGTATGACAGTCAACAGCCCCGGCTGAACTCAATAGCTGGCACCAGCATGGGAGGGAGCCTCTCAGGCATCAGCCAGTGGATCATTTAGATAACTGCAGTTCTGCCAGCCTCTGATTCTATCCACATGTGAGACTCAAAGCGAGAACTGCTGAGGCGAGCACTGCCTGATCCTGACCCACAAAATCATGAGTGACATACAATGGTTGTTTAAGGCTGCCAGGTTTTAGGGTAACTTATACAACATAGTAACCAGAGTGCCTACCCTTTCCCTTCCCTCCCTTGCAACTGGCTAGAACACAGATGAAGTCATGGTGGGCTGTCTTTGGTCTTGGGAGCCACAAATGAGGAGCCTGGGCTCTTGGGTGCCCTCATGGAGCAGAGCTGCCAACTCCCCAGATGCCACTCACATTTCATGTAAGAGAAATTTCCATCTTGTTTAAGTCAATTCTGTTTTTTAAGCCAAATCAATATCCTAGTAATACCATATATGTAAAATGAACAGCTCAGTGTCTAAAAGAAGTGCTTTTTGGAAAAGGTAATTATTGCTATTTCATTATTATACTACTAATAAGTATTAATATTATTACCCTAAACTGCTCGACACTCCTCAAAATGAACATGAGATGAACCCATGTCACTGATGGTCAATGGGACCTGTCAAGATAGGCAGAAATTATCTGTGGTAATGCTTAATTCATACCAAGTCTCTCTTCCATCCGCCTTAAGCTGACTACAGCTCTCCCAGGCAGACCAATAGACAGGGGATCGTGGATACCAACCCACTTCACACCCACACAATGAGCCAAAGCTCCGGGCAGCCACTGCGTCCTCCCATCCCACCCGTTCTGTTGCAGGAGAGACAACAGGCAGCAAAATGGCATGGAAAGTGGATCTAAGATAATGAGTGGGGAGAGGAAGCCAGAGAAACTAACTCCATCCCCAAGAAATCAGGCAAGGCTTCTGGGAGGAGGTGACCACTATCCTGAGAGTGCCTTCCAAGGCTGAAGAGAGTGAAAAGGCTCTGCAAGCAGGGAGAGTGGCCTGGGCAAAGACACAGAACATCAGAATCCACATAGCCGGTGACCTACCTGCCTCCTCAGCCTCACCCTTTCAGCTCTACCTCCAGGGAGGTCAGCATAGGGGAGGGTGGGTGTCAGACCTCTGTGGGCCCCTGGGGACCTGTGTCCAAGCAGGGACTTCCTCTGCAGCTACGGCAGAGTCAGCTTTAGAGTCTTTTCTCCTTCCATAGTCATCAAACTGCAAGCGTTACTTCAAAACCCTAGTCCAGGCAGGGATACCCCCAGTCTTCCTGTTCTTTTTTTACCCTCTCTGGGTCAGGGGCTTTGGCCTTAACCTGATTCTCCCCTTCATCTACTAGCCTGGTGCTTCAGATTCAGGCAGGTCTTGCTGAACTAGAAGACCAGGAGACAGCCCACAGATACAGGAGGCTGAGTCCGAGGAAGGAGACATAGGCCCTTCCTTCCTGAGGCCCCAAGAGGGAGACAGGACAGAGACATAGAACTCTCAGTGAACAGAGCAGACGCCCTGAGAGCTGAGCAACCAGAGAGGGAAAGGAGAGTGCAATTGGGCAATCAAGGCAAGCTTCTTGGAGGAAAGGGGCAGGGAAGCATCGATGTCAGGGGAGATCAGCCTGCAGGCAGGCTCTGGAATAGGTGCAGAGTGGTGACGGATTCCAGTCGGACTCCAGTTTAAACAACCACAGCGCCTTAAGGTTTCAATATCTAGTCCAGGGGAAGGGGGTACATGGGAAGGTGTCTTTATGGCCTTGTCACTAGTAAAGCACAGTTCATGACTTATCCACCGAGTGTGGATTCAGCGAGATGGGGGAGGGCAGGTTTTTTTTTTTTTTTTGAGACGGAGTTTCACTCTTGTTACCCCGGCTGGAGTGCAATGGCACGATCTCAGCTCACCGCAACCCTGCCTCCTGGGTTCAAGCAGTTGTTCTCCTGCCTCAGCCTCCTGAGCAGCTGGCACTACAGGCGTGCATCACCATGCCCATCTAAGTTTTTGTATTTTTAGTAGAGACGGGGGTTTCACCATGTTGACCAGGATGGTCTCGATCTCTTGACCTCGTGATCCATTCACCTCGGCCTCCCAAAGTGCTGGGATTATAGACGTGAGCCACCGCGCCCGGCCCAGGAGGACCGTTTTTTAGGGATAAGGGAGCCCCCACACTCCCATTGCCCCTCTGCTCAGGGAAAGGGGGACGGTAGAAATGACCTCTCCGGCCAGCATGCACACAGCCATGTCAGCCCCACTCGGCTTGTCCTCCACAGCCCCATCTTGGACCGCACTTCACCGCCAGCCATTCCAGCCCTGGCGCTAGTAATACAGCTCCTGGGGAAGCGCTCGGGGTGTTGGTGCCTCTTTGACTTCACGGGATGGGGGAAGGACAGCCCTGTCCCCCTCGGCTCTCCTAGGCTGCCTAGCAGGCTCCTGTCCACGCTCCCCGCCCCTTGTTCCGGAACCCCATCGATCCCTGCCCTACTCGATACAGTTCCTTCCACAGCAGCCCCTGGTCTGGGCGCTGTCCAGGCCCACGCTGGGGGTCGAGTCTTCACTGGGCTCCGAGCAGAGGGAATCCCCGCGCCCGCCCCAGCCTTGTCCTAGGGCGCCTCTGTCCGAGTCGGTTTTCTCTCCTCTGGCCCCCACGCCGCCACCCTCCACTTCCAAGGGACGCCACCTCCACAAAGGAGAAAGGAAAGGAAATACACAGGCACACATTCGTTTCTGTGGAATTCGCTCTTTATTTTGGGACCAGGGAAGGATCACACACAGCCCTGCAGCCCGGGGGTTGGGGCACCGAGACGCTGAAAGCCCGCACCCGCACCCCGCTCAGACGCCGCCTCCAGGAGGCGGAATCCGGGTTTCTGGGGTCCAGAGCGCCTATGCAAATGAGACGGGCGTGGTTGGAAGATCTCCCAGGAGGCCTCGGGGGTCCTCGCCACAGGTCGGCGCCAAGAGCGAAGGGAAAGGAATCGGATCTGGGGAAGCAAGCCTGGGAGACGTCGTAAGTGACGGACTAGGGTGGGGTGGGGCGCGCTCTCGGAGGCAGGATGTGTGGTGACGGGGGCACTTTCACCTAGACCTGCTGGGGTGGTCCTCGCCGTCGCGGTAGAACGTTTTGTAGAGGAGCACGTCCGGGATGTCCTGTTTCACCTACCTGGGGGCGGAGCCGGGAAGGGCGTGTTCAGACCTGGCCACGCCCCCGGCGGTGCGGGGCCGCAAGGGAGAGCCCCAGGGATCCCGCTCCGCCCGCCCCGTGCCAGCGCTCACCGCGGCCGGGTGACCACGTTGAGCTAGTGGCGCAGGGAGACGTAGTAGCGGCTCAGCTTCTCCTGGGAGGCGCCTTCGCCGGAACCTCGGGTTCGATGGGGTAGGCGTCGACTAGCGCCCCCAGGCGGACGAGCAGGGCCAGAGCACTGTGGCCGGGGCAGGCCACGGCCTGCGCACCGACACCATCTGGGAAGGCGACACTGGGGCGTGGGTCATTCCGAGCCTCTACCCTCCACGGCGTGAGGCTGCGGCTGCCGTCGGGGCCGCGTTCCGACACTCTCCCTCGGGCTGGTATCGGACCAAGGCTCAGCCACCAGCTTACCTTGTGTTCTCCAGCACTGCACTGTCTCCTGCCTCAGTTTCCTCATCTGTCAGAGGGACAAAGCTCTACCTGACGTAACCCTACCCCCACCCCCGCTGCTGCCCAGAGAGGTAGAGTGAAGAAGAAGGTTGTGCGGGGGGGACTCCTGGGCCTCCTTCCCACCTCTGATGGCTCCCTCCAGTCCAGTTTCCCACCACTCACCCCCAGCTTCCACCATTCCAGCCGTAGTTTTCCCACCAAACAGCCAGGGTTTCCAGGTACCAGACGGTGCTTGAGCCCCCAGCCACTCACAGCGACAGCTTGGGAAGCAGATGAGCAGGAGGTGGAAGGCGAGGGAAGTCCCAAGCTGCACTCCAGCAGGTCAAGCTGAGGCCTCCTCTGCTCAGGGCTTTCCTTGCGGGGCTTATATCCCTGCCTGGAAAGGAGGGGGAGTCCTACGGGGACGGGGCCAGCAGAGGGTGGGCCCTTCTTCCTCCCTCCTTCCACCCCTGCTAGATCGCTGAGCTTACACCTAGCCAGTGTGTGATGTCTCCACCTGGCAGGAGCTCAGGGGGCAGCTGCCATGCTCAGATTTTGGGTCCCACTGGATGGGGTACCCAGTCTGAACCCTGTGTTCACCCCATAGTCCCTCAGGGACACGTCTAGCTTTCTGAGGAAGTGGAGCGGTTGGATCTATATTCCTGGGGCAGTCCCTAGGACCAGGATGAGCTTCTCTCTTCCTTAGCCTGTCTGTGGGTTGGAGTGGGGGGCAGAAGGGTGAACACATTTCCTCCAGCCTGTGGGATCTGTGACCACTCTTAACAAAAGACAACCCTTTTCATCCTCTGCTCAGTAATACCTTGGAGAAGGGCTGAGGAGTGACAGGACCTCTGGGGGTCAAGTCTTTCTCTTGGGGGCAGGGGTGGGGGCACATGACCTTGGTTTCTGACCTGCAATTGATGGTGTCCTCAGAAGAGGCCTCTCTGAACACTCCATTATGTTCTTTCTCCATTAAAGAGTTGGGAAGGCCGGGCGCGGTGGCTCAAGCCTGTAATCCCAGCACTTTGGGAGGCCGAGGCGGGTGGATCACGAGGTCAAGATATCGAGACCATCCTGGTCAACATGGTGAAACCCCGTCTCTACTAAAGATACAAAAAATTAGCTGGACATGGTGGCGCGTGCCTGTAATCCCAGCTACTCAGGAGGCTGAGGCAGGAGAATTGCCTGAACCCAGGAGGCAGAGGTTGCGGTGAGCCGAGATCGCGCCATTGCACTCCAGCCTGGGTAACAAGAGCGAAATTCCATCTCAAAAAAAAAAAGAGTTGGGAAAAGAGGCAGGAGGGGGCAGAAGCCAGTTCCCCCAACAGAAGCAGCCCAGTCGGCCACCCGTGTATCCAGCCTGGCACACACAGACCCCAGTGCAGCCATGTGTGGCATAGAGCCCCCTTGCCAGGCAGAGTGTCCCCACCCCTATGCAGGTGTCATTCAGGGCACAGGCGTCTTATGCCAAGGCTTCCCAAGCACATACCGCTGTCCCCAGCCTCCACTAGGCTCTGAAGCCCAGATCCTTAGAAGGAAAGGACTCGTGTTTATTAAGCACCTACTGTGCACCGGGTAGTACATAATTTCAGGCATCACACGACGATGAACTGAGTTTATCTCCATTTTCCAGATGAGGAAACTGAAGCCCTGAGAGGTGATGGAGCAGCCAAAGTCACCCATGATTCAAACAGGAAAAGGAGGGAGAGGCAGACCCCAGGAAGAGGACCTCTCAATCTGAGGGTCAGAAAGGCTCAGCACCTGGAGTAGCCATGGGGTGCTGGAGCAAGGACACAAAGGCTAAGTCAGGCCCACCACCCACTCTGAGAGGCTGTGTAGGGGAAGGGTCTCCAGACCACCAACCCCCTCATCCCCACCTGCTCAGGAGGAGGAAGGAATGGGGGATGGTCTCCCCATAAAGCCCTTTCAGCTTCCTCTCCCTGGCCTGGCCAGACCTCCAGTACTTCCAGATGTCCCATCAGCCCATAGAGGGTAAAGGGGCCTACTTGTGTAGGCTGCTGGTTCTGAGCCAGCCCCTTCAGCCCCAGAACAGATGGCTGTGGGGCCTGTTTTTAGCGCTCTCCTGAGATGGGAGTTCAGGGCTCTCTCAGTCACTCTTTTCTGGGTTCAATCACTTGCATTCTCCAGAAACGGTTCCTTATCAGCCAGTCAGGCCCCATAGGATCACACATCCCGGGAAACACCAGGGTGCCCTGCTGAGCATGGAGGTGGCAGAGGACACCAGGACAAGGGGACATAGATCCTGCCCTTGGAGGAAGGAGAAAAATCATTCTTCTTAGGGACCTGTCATCCATGGGCAAGGCACAGCCCTGTCCTTCAAGAACCCCAGTCGCAGCTGGGCGCGGTGGCTCATGCCTGTAATCCCAGTGCTTTGGGAGGCCGAGGCAGGTGGATCACGAGGTCAAGAGATCGAGACCATCCTGGTCAACATGGTGAAACCCCGTCTCTACTAAAAATACAAAAAATTAGCTGGGCATGGTGGCGCATGCCTGTAATCCCAGCTACTCGGGAGGCTGAGGCAGGAGAATTGCCTGAACCCAGGAGGCGGAGGTTGCGGTGAGCTGAGATCGCGCCGTTGCACTCTGGCCTGGGTAACAAGAGCGAAACTCCGTCTCAAAAAAAAAAAAAAGAACCCCAGTCGTAAAGGAGAGACATGGCCGTATCATGGGGGGATCCTCAGTCTGAGGGATTCCCAGAACATGGATACAGAGAGACAAACAGAGCCAGCCATTGTCCTGTTAGGAGGGAAGACAGCAGAAATCAAAGAATTGTGTTCCTCCATGGAAAGACGAAAGGCAGGTGCTCACCCTAGGATGCAGGGGCAGTGAGGGCTGGCCAGGACATCTGTGATTCCAGGGGTCAGGGCCCAGAGAAGGACCCTGCAGGCTAATGGGGTCAAGGATACCAGACAGCTGGGGGCTGTTTGCTCTTCTGACTCTGTAGCACTAACCATGGTGGTGATAGGGGTTTCTAGTGCACTGATTCTGGGCAGAGAGATGAAGGAGCCTGTGAGATGGCTACAGGGAATCTGACATCCCTGGAGCCCCATCATGCCCTGGAACCCCATCATGTCTTGGGGAATATGCAGTCCAAGGACAGATGGGAAGAGAGGAGAGACATTGTAGAAGCTAGAGGGCATGAGATGGCCTGAATTCAGGCTACAAACTCTGAAGAAGTCACTTCCTCATTTATAGCCAAAGTAAATGGGTGCCCTGGTGGTCTCAGTGTGGACCAGGAGCCAGCCTCAAAACATCTCTATCCATCCCCCAAGCCCTCTCTATCCATCATATCCCTAACCTCCAACTCACTCCCCAAGTACAGGGCAAGCTGATTGGTTCCTTAATCTCTGCCTCCTTATTGAAGAGCTTATTAATTTGTTGATTAGCAGGGAGGATGTCTCAGTCCTCGATCAATGGGCTTGGCTACCCCCATCCACACACCCACACCCATCACTGATGCATGACTCAGTGGCTATGAGACATGTCTGGGGGATGGAGGGCCGAAGTCTGGGAGGGGGGAAAGTTCAGAAACGATTGTTTTTGTAGATGTGAGACCACTGCCTGCCTCCAGCTTGTCCTTGGAAGGTAGGGGACAGAATCACTAGGGCTTCGTTGGCCCCATTTTCAGAGCATTTGGCAAGGCCACCTCAAGTCAGGGAGACCATGGACCTGGACCCCAGCCAACCATTTCCCTTGTCCAGTGGGCTCAAGGGCCACTCATCAAGATGGTGTGGCCTCTGCCATTCATCCCCAGAGGTTTAGAATTCTGCACCCCATTGCCCACCTGCCTGTACCTACTCCCCACACATAAGGCCCCTCTTTGATCCGTGTGTACTGTGCAGCACTGGGCCACTGCCTTCCACCCTCAGGCACTTCCTCATGCCCAGGGTCCTGCAGACAGCAGGTTGTCATACAGCAAGAGTAATTCGATCCTCATTCAACAAGCACTTATGAAGTCTCTGCTGTGTGCCAGGCACTGATCTAGGCACTGGGATAGGGCAGTGAACAAGCAGGCAAAACCCTTACCCTCATAGAGCTCACATTCTAGTGATAGGAAATAGAAAATAAGTAAATAAGCATGGAGGCTGGGCGAGGTGGCTCACACCTGTAATCCCAGCACTTTGGGAGGCCAAGGTGGATGGATCACCTGAGGTCAGGAGTTCAAGAACACCCTGGCCAACATGGTGAAATCCCATCTCTATTAAAAGTATAAAAATTAGCCAGGTGTGGTGGCGGGTGCCTGTGATCCCAGGTACTCAGGAGGCTGAGACAGGAGAATTGCTTGAATCCAGGAGGCAGAGGTTGCAGTGAGCTGAGATGGTGTCACTGCGCTCTAGCCTGGGTGACAAAGTGAGACTCAGTCTCAAAAAAATT